GCACTTTATAACAGAAGGCCGCCACGTCTTAATCTCAATGTTAATAAGTGTATTTGGATATTTTATTGACTGCATTGTTTTAGACTTATATTGTATTAATTGTTATGTTGGTTTTAAACTATTGTAAGCCGCCCTGAGCTGCCTTGGCGGGAGGGCGGGGTAAAAGTCTAATAAATAAATAAATAAACAGTTCACAATACTGCAGTTAGACAGTTTCATAGGGCCTGAGGGAGGGGGAAAGGATAGCTGGTACAACCCAGGAAATCGCCACGTCTGAAACGGAAATGAAATAAGACACTGAATACTGTGATATAGGGCAATTTCACACATGGTGCCGAAGCAAACCCAGGTTTGCTGCCCACTGTTGACTTAACAAGGAGCGACAGCAAACCGTGGCTCTCTGATAAGTCTATATCTGTGTGGTACACATGCTTGCCAGCTTGTGTTTGATGCCTTCACACTCCTTTTGATGCCTTCACACTACAGTACTTTTCTCCCTTTCTCACAATACAAGGACTCGTGGGCACTCCATGAAATTGCTGAGCAGTCGGGTTAGAACAGATAAAAGGAAGTCCTTCTTCACCCAAAGAGTGATTAACACATGGAATCCACTGCCACAGGAGGTGGTGGCGGCTCCAAGCATGGATGGCTTCAAGAGGGAGTTAGATAAGCATATGGAGCAGAGGTCCATCAGTGGCTATGAGCCATAAGGTATAGATAGGGACTCTCAGTCTGGGTCAAGGGATGCTCTGTATTCTTGGTGCTTGGGGGGCTTCTAGTGTCTTTGCCCCACTGGGGGACCTCCTGGTGGCACCTGGTATTTTTGGCCACTGTGTGACAGAGTGTTGGCCCGATCCAACATTGGCTTCTCTTATGTTCTAAATCCAGGTTTATATAATCTTAAATGCACCTTTAGAAATGTGGGCTTCGATCCTATACCGCGTGAATGCAGCTGTGCTCCATAAATGGTAATCTTCTTTCCCTCCTCTCCCTTCAGTTGTTGTCTGGTGGTGGTGGTGGTGGTGGTAAGCGCCTTCAAGTTGCATCCGACTTATACTGACCACGGGGTGGGGTGGGGGGGGACTCGAGGCAAGAGGCATTCAGAGGTGGTTTGCCATTGCCTGCCTTCACGTCATGACCCCGGTATTCCTGGGTGGTCTCCCATCTGTTTCCTAACCAGCACCGACCCTGCTTAGATTCCAAGGTCTGCTGATAGCGGGCTGGTCAGGGCCACCCACGTCAGGAGGGGCCCAGGCTAGCCCGATCTCGCCAGATTTCAGAAGCTAAGCAGGGTCAGCCCTGGTTGTTGTTTGGACAGGAGACCACAGAGGAAGTCCAGGGTTGTTACTGCAGAGGAAGGCAGTGGCAAACCCACCTCTCTTGCCTTGAAAACCCTACAGGGTTTGTCATAAGTCAGTTGTGACTTGACGGCACTTGATTGAGTAGTTGTCGATGTCCCCTGAAACCGTTCCTCCGAGGGTAAGTAAACCCTCGGGAACGTGATGGGGGTCAAAGTGGTGATGAATCAGGGCTCTTTTTGTAGCAGGAACTCCTCTGCATATTAGGCGACACCCCCCTAATGTAGCCAATCCTCCAAGAGCTTACAGAGCTCTTCTTACAGGGGCTACTGTCAGCTCTTGGAGGATTGGCTACATGAGGGGTGTGTTGCCAGGGCTCTTTTTGTAGCAGAGACTCCTTTGCATATTAGGCAACACACCCCCTAATGTAGCCAATCCTCCCAGAGCTTACAGAGCTCTTTTTACAGGGCCTACTGTCAGCTCTTGGAGGATTGGCTACATGAGGGGTGTGTCGCCCAGGGCTCTTTTTGTAGCAGGAACCCCTTTGCATATTAGGCAACACCCCCCCCAATGTAGCCAATCCTCCCAGAGCTTACAGAGCTCTTTTTACAGGGGCTACTGTCAGCTCTTGGAGGATTGGCTACATTGAGGGGTGTGTCACTTAATATGCAAATGAGCTCCTGCTACAAAAAGAGCCCTGGCTGGGAGGTGGGGCTGGAGCGAGAGGGGAGAATCAGCAAAAACTGCCCCTCTCTCCATGAGCGGAAGCACCTACCACAAGCGCAAAGGCAGTTACGGATCCAAGCCATAACGTCTGTAACCGTTTGTAAATGGAGATCAATGAAGGTTGTTTTTGTGTGGAGTTAACTACTGGAATTCCTGGACAGACTGGAAGCAAACAATCTGGTTATTTTTCCTACTGAAGAAGAAAGGCGATGAACAATGCGCCTTAATGAGGAATGCACAACCCAGAGAGCGAGAGAGAGGGAAGAGGCTACGAGACTTTTTGTGCTTGTGCCAAATGAAAGGTTGTCTTTGAGAGCACTTAACAAATTTCGCTGAAGGTAAAGATGAGTCCGGGGGGGGGGGGACAACACCACAGAACCTTATTCTCTTCCTCAGTACTTAAACTGAGGGCATAGAATGGCAGATTGAAAGGTAATATAGCCAGCAACGCGGAGAAAGGAGCAGGAAAAAGAAAATTGCATGGAGAATGGCAAAACGAACAAAGAACAAAAGCGAAGTGAAAAATGCCAAGAGATGTGGTGAGTTATCAGACTTCCAACCTGTTGAAACGTGCATTGCTTGAAAGTGGGGTTTGCTAAATCTCGTGGAAATCATGCTAATATTACCTAAAGTCAAAGTCTGGCCCAAAGCATTTAATCAAGGTGCTTTTAAAAAAGCGATGAATAGCGACATGGAAGCAACTGGGAACAATAATTTTCAAAAGGGTTACTTGTTCCGTCTGTAGCCCTGTTCATACGTTACAGTGAATGCATGTACACCCATAGGCAATGCTCCCCGTAAGATGTGGAGTCTTGTGACCAAAAATTCTACTTTATGAACTACTGGCATTAAAGTTGTGAGCAAGCGATTTGGCTACTGCATAATTATTTTGCTCTGGAGCCATCCCCCCTGAGCTAAGACAAAAATGTGTGAGCTGGAGGCTAAAAAACTGTGAGCTAGCTCACACTAACTCAGCTTAGAGGGAACACTGCCCGTAGGTATGTGTGCACACCTGTTTGTAAGAAAGAGCCAAAGAATGAAACTGTGGACCAGTACCTACCAGTAGATGAATGTGGGGTTTAAATCACAAAATCAGCGGCACATGTGTTAAATGTAACAAGAGAATTATTCAGTACAAGAGAATTATTCAGTGCATGTATGTAGAAAATCAAGCGTACACAGGTTGTATGTATGCTCACCGTAACATGTGAGCAGGGCTTAACAGCAGAACCTTATTACAAGAACGAGAGAACTGCATACCTGCACAGAACTTATAGACCCACTTATAGACCCACATTTTCTGGCGTCCACCGAGTACTTTCAGGAAGTGGGTGTGGCCAGGTCAGTCTTTTGCCCCGTAAGGCTTCTGATTTGCCACTGGAGATTTGATTGGCTGTGCAAAATTTTAAAATGTTGCTTTGGTAGCAGCTGCCACCCCAGGATAAGGATCTTCACTGTGACCAAAGGTAACCTGCAGCAGCTATTTTGTGGATAGCCCCACCTCGTATGGTGGCCATTTTGTGGCAGCCATTTTCTGGCCGTGCCCACCATGGTGTGTCAGAATTCCAAAGGTGTCCATGGGCTCAGAAAGAAATTGGGGGTCCCTGTTGCAGACCATACATTCCAATAAATTTGAGAGTAAATTTTAGAGTTGTTTTAGATACTTCTTAAAGGTTTTTAACCTAATTTATTGTTGTTACCCAACCAACCAACCAACCAACCAACCAACCAACCCACCCATTCCAATTCCATATGCTGATGCCACATTGCAATTTCACTGAATGTTTCAGGCACCTCTTCCCGAATTACAGAGGGAAACTGTTGTGATGTTCAAGCAAGGCAACGTTGTGTGAAAATTCAAATTGCCAACCAATCATGCTATGCTTAAACTGTTGTAATGACAGTCAAGTGCAACGGTAAAATGGGTGGAATAACAAAAATGTAATGTGTTCATTGTGAACTAAATGGTCTCTGGACAGCAGGCTTCTGGCCGACTATAAGCTAGTCTCTCATTTGCCCTTTAAGGGAAAAGTAATCGGGTCTGTGTGGTGTCAGAGTAATGCCTTGGGTTCCTGGGCGACTCATCTGCTCTTGACCAGGCCAATAGCCAGGATCTTGTGGCTTGTGGGGCAATTTTGTTTCTGGTGGGGCCGAAGTTCTCAGTGCAGAAAGGCCATTTAGCCAATAGAAGGCTGTTATCAGCATAGATCTCTAGACTGCAAGCTGTCAATCACTTGAGGTGATAGTTCTCAACTGCTGCAAGTTAATCACTTCTACCAGCCTAAGCAACAATTCTGAGAACAAGCCGGCAGGTGGGGTGATGACTTCTATAGTCCAGAAAGCTAATGCTGAGGCAGAAAAACGCTCTTAAAGGAGACCAGTTTCTTGACACAGAGTTAGATGGGATCTTAGAGGTCACCTACTCTAACCCCTTGCCCAGTGCGGGAATTAGTCAACTACAGCACCCCACTGCTTACAGGAAAACATTCCTTTAAAACGTTTTAAAACGAGTGAACAAAGCATTCACAGGAGAAATTCTTGTGGGGGCTGTGCTTTTAAGAAAGGGGGCAGATCCCCCCAACGCCCCATCATGGCTACGGGCCCACTCTCCCAAACAAATCCCTAGCTACAGGGCTGGGTACATTGCCAACAAGTGTGAGATACCCACCAGCCTTAACAGGTAGCTCTTAAAGAGCTCTGACCCCCCTGGTTCCTTGCAAAGGTGAACACAACAGTTAAAGCTCCATCTAACTTAAGAGATTCACAGTTTTACTCAAGTTGTAAGGAAAAGCACTTTTTTTTGGATTGACTCTGTGAAACTAAGAGGCATGGCATATAGCTGCAGACGAGTGGACTTGGTCAACAACAATTATCTGCAAGGCCATTTTGAAGTCTGAATAAAAGCAACTTCCAAAGGAGGTCTTCCTTGGGTTCCTGGGTTGCCATAGGAATAAGACGGCAAGTTCCTTCACTCACCTCCAGACGCCTTTGACCTTTCTTTCAACTTTTCTGCAGCCATTTCACTGTAGCTGGGGAGTTCTGACATCTTCACTCCAGATCGAGCTTCTGCTATTAGCTGACGGGCTCTCTCTCTCAGCAGCCGACGAAGCTCTTCATCTTGCTGCTAAGATATATTGAACAGTTGCCAGCTCAGTAATTGACAGAAATGCAATTTCATTCTCAATCTGATCATCATGATAGTAACTGGTTTACAGCATGGTGCTTGGCCCGCGTTATAAATAGGAAGTTCTATATCAGCAGGGTGTCAACAACACACTTTCCACAGTCATCCAGGAACATGGTCTCCCCTTCCGCGCCCCCCCCCCCAATAATTATTGTATTAAACTGGCTTTTAAAAATGTATAGTCTGAGGCTGAAAGTTATGCAAAATTTAGGGCCATAACAGCACACGGTATAGATCCGGGTGGCCCGCCATGTTGGTCTGAAGCAGTAGAACAAACCTAGAGTCCGGTGGCACCTTTCAGACCAACAAAGTTTTATTCAAGGTGTGAGCTTCTGTGTACATGCACACTTTTTCGAATACCAAATACACTTTTCCAAATATTTGAAAAAGTATTCGTGCACACGAAAGCATACCTTGAATAAAACTTTGTTGGTCTTACATGTCTATGTTTTAAATGGCTGTCATTTTAAGTTATTTATATGCTTATGATATGATTTAAAGGTAAAGGTTCCCTTGCTCGAAAGCCAGTCGAGTTCAACTCTAGGGTTGCGGTGCTCATCTCCGCTTCAAAGCCAAAGAGACAGCGCTGTCCGAAGAAGTTTCCGTGGTCATGTGGCCGGCATGACTAAACACCGAGGCGCACGGAACGCTGTTCCCTTCCCACCGAAGTGGTCCCTATTTATCTACTTGCAATTTCTTGCTTTCGAACTGCTAGGTTGGCAGGAGCTGGAACTAGAGACGGGAGCTCACTCCGTCATGCGGCACCCGGGTCTCGAACTGCTGAACTACTGACCTTCCACAGCCTGCAGTTCAGCGTCTTGACCACTTGAGCCACCGCAGCTCCTATTTATATTTATATGCTTATGATATGATTTAATTGTACTCTAATTGTATTTTATGAATTGTTGTCAGCCTGAGCCCGCCTTGGCGGGGAGGGCGGGATATGAATTAATTAATTAAAGGTGCCACTAGTGTTGTTAAGTAAAAACAACAGTTTATATGCATCAGGAAAATCCATAATGCTGGATAAGATTGAAGATAAAATACTTTGTCTGGAATTGTTATAGTAAGGTAAAGGTAAAGGTTCCCTTGCTCGAAAGCCAGTCGAATCCGACTCTATGGTTGTGGTGCTCATCTCTGTTTCAAAGCCGAAGAGCCAGCGCTGTCCGAAGACGTTTCCGTGGTCATGTGGCTGTGGAGACTAAAAACCAAGGCGCACGGAACGCTGTTACCTTCCCACTGAAGTGGTATCTATTTATCTACTTGCAATTTCTTGCTTTCGAACTGCTAGGATGGGCAGGGGCTGGAACTGGAGATGGGAGCTCACTCCGTCATGCGGCACCCGGGTCTCGAACTGCTGAACTACTGACCTTCCACAGCCTGCAGTTCAGCATCTTAACCACTTGAGCCACCGCAGCTCCTAATTGTTATAGTAAGGACATTCTAACAACACACATGGGACACTGTTTCAATAATTCCATTTAAACAGGGGCGATATCTATTAATAAGCGGTATACCTTGAAATCTTCCAGTGGCAAAATTTTTACATGTTGCCGTTTTTATATGAAGCAATATACTGTAAACTTGGGATATTTTAACTTGTAATATTTATGTATTCGCTTAACATTCCCCTTTACAATGCCAATAAAGGTATGATGATGGGGGAAAAAAATTAAAGGTGCCACTGGGCTCCAAATTTGTTCTGGCACACCGTATGTTTAAGTCCAGTGCTCGAAGTACTAACACAGGGCGGAAAGGGAGATGCAGAAAGCCACATTACGAATGTGGAAGCGCCCTATAGTTTACTGCCTATTTCAGATAAACTGGAGAGAGTATTACCGAAGACAGAATTATTAAGCGTGCAGAACAAGCCTAGTGAGGAGGAAGAAGAAGAAGAAGAAGAAGAAGAAGAAGAAGAGATTGGCCTTTAATTCAATGCTATCTAAAGACTTAGATCGTTCTTGCTTCCTCAATAACCTACTACTAAGATATTCCATTCCTGACGACCTCCTTAGCTCCTCAACAAATAACTTAGATCTCAGAGAATGGGTATTTAAGCATGATGCTCTGCTAGATAGACACTTCATTTTAAAAACACAGTCTGCTACCTGGTTTAAATCATTTAAGAATGATCATTTTAGATCACCTTATCTGGTTAATATAGATAATCATAACCTTAGAGCAGCTTTTACATCTTTGCGCTTTGAATCAATGCCTACGGCCGTGTTGGTCGGCCGTTACAACAGAACACCCAAGGCACAGCGTTTATGTATTTGTGGCTCTTCTGCTGTTGAGGATCTCTCCCATTACATTTTTAATTGCTCATTGTACTCCCAGCCTAGGTCAAAATTTTTATCTGGTATTTTATCAGTTTTAAGCTTTTATTCAGTCTCAGAGAAGATTATATTTTTGCTAGCCGATGCCAATGCTGATGTATCCCATAGAATGGCTTTATTTGCCTTGGCTGCAAGGAAAATACGGGCCAACGCTGCTCCTAGCTAATACTGATTTTAGTGGGTATGTTGTGAATTAATTAACTGTTCATAACCTCGGTTTTAACTGTTCATAACCTCGGTTTTAACTGTTCATAACCTCGGTTTTAACTGTTCATAACCTCGGTTTTATGGATTTATAATGTTGGACTGTATCTTATTTTATACAATTTTTGTGTTTTATTGTGCTCTGTCTGTGGTTTGTAATGGCCTATGGCTAAATACAATAAAATCTTCTCTCTACTTGATCGGGTTGAAAGAGATCACTTCCCCTTACTGTTAACTTTAGAACTCCCCCCATTACTCCATAAAGGCACCCAGCTGGGTGTGGGTTAGAATGGATAAAAGGAAGTACTTCTTCACCCAAAGCATAATTAACACATGGAATTCACTGCCACAGGAGGTGGTGGTGGCTACAAGCATGGACAGCTTCAAGAGAATATCGGATAAACATATGTAGCAGAGGTCCATCAGTGGCTGTTAGCCACAAGGTATAGATAGGAACCCGGTTCTCCCAGATTAGAGTCCGCGCACTTAACCACTACACCAAACTGGCTCTCGGCACGGCCTTCCTGGGGAGAGTCCTGCCTCGCCAACCTTTGGTAATGTCTGAGTATTGTTAAGCGTGGGGCAATGGCGGGCTGGTAGACCAGATGCACGTGGATTTCCAAAAACGTCCAGCAAAGTCCCTCACCCAAAGCTCTGAAGTAGCTTATCAGTTAGGGCCCCTAACAGATTCATAACGCGTTCTGTTTGGTATAGCTACATCACACTCTGAAGCTTCTGGAAGCTACCAAGTATTCTGTTATGCTGAAACGGCTGGGCATGATGAACCAAACTCTTAAGGCTGCCAGCCTCTGGTTGGGGCCTGGAAAGATCCTTGAATTTCAAAATTATCTCCAGACTAAAGAGGTCAGTTCCGCTGGAGGAAATGGCTGCTTTGGAGGGTGGCGTCTATGGCATTGTACCCTGCTGGGGTCCCTCCCCAGAACTCCACATGGGATTCACTGCCACAGGAGGTGGTGGCGGCTACAAGCATGGACGGCTTCAAGAGGGAATTAAATAAGCATATGGAGCAGAGGTCCAGCAGTGGCTATGAGCCACAAGGTATAGATGGGGGAGGGGAAGGGAAAGGAGTTTGTAAGCCACTCTGAGACTCTGAGTGAAGGATGGGGTATAAATCCAATCTCCTCCTTCTTCTCCTCCTCTTCTTCTTGGAACTCTCAGTCTGGGGTAAGTGGTGCTCTGTATTCTTGGTGCCGGGGGGGGGGCAGTGGGAGGGCTTCTAGTGTCCTGGCCCCACTGATGGCACCTGGTATTGTTGGCCACTGCGTGACAGAGTGTTGGACTGGATGGGCCATTGGCCTGATCCAACATTGGCTTCTCTTATGTTCATCAGTGGCTATTAGCCACAAGGTATAGATAGGAACTCTTGGTCTGGGACATGTGATGCTCTGTATTCTTGGTGCTTGGGGGGGCAAGAGTGGGAGGGGCTTCTAGTGTCCTGGCTCCACTGGTGGACCTCCTGATGGCACCTGGTATTTTTGCCCACTGTGTGACATAGAGTGTTGAACTGGATGGGCCATTGGCCTGATCCAACATTGGCATCTCTTCTGTTCTTATGTTCTCTTAGCCACAAGGTATAGATAGGGACTCTCAGTCTGGGGTAAGTGGTGCTCTGTATTCTTGGTGCTTGGGGTGGGGGGCAACAGTGGGAGGGCTTCTAGTGTCCTGGCCCCACTGCTGGACCTCCTGATGGCACCTGGTGTTTTTGGTCACTGTGTGACAGAATGTTGGACTGGATGGGCCATTGGCCTGATCCAACCTTGGCTTCTCTTATGTTCTTATGTTCCAGGAATTTCCCAGTCTGGACCTGGCAACCCTACAAAACTCTGTTTAGAAAAGGATGGGGTTGGGTAGGGTGGCCAGATCCAGGCTGGGAAACGCCTGGAGATTTGGGGATGGAGCCTGGGGAGGGCTGGAACCTCAGTGGGGGTACGATGCCACAGAGTCCACCCTCCAAAGCATCCATTTTCTCCAGGGGGACTGATCTCTGTATTCTGGAGACGAGCTGTAACTCCGGGGGATGCCCCGGTCCTGCCTGGAGGCTGGCATCCCCAGGAGGAAACATTTGTCCCAAACATTCCGAACATTTGGTGTACAATGTCTGTGACCGTGCATCTCTGTTGTGACTTCAGAGGACAGAACGTCTCTATGGTGCTTCTTAGCTGTTGCTATACTCTTTGTTTTCTCCAAGCAACCGAGGACTTTCCCGGTTACCTCCAGAAACAGACAGACATACGGTATGTGTCAGAGGACGACGGGCACTGCTATTTTGGTGCAGTGCCACCGAGGCCACAAAAAGAGAGGCCTTTGGAGTCCATGCTCCAGTTTAAAGACGCCAGGGGCAGTCCACGTAAAGTAGGGGGTGAGCAAACTGAGAAATCT